TCTTCAGCGAGTTTGCTGTGGTGGCTGTGGTGACTCAGGCGGTTTCTGGAGCCTCGGGTGACCCTATCCGCGGCCCTGCGGGTACCCTTAAGTCGGGCCTGTCCCCCTGCAGGGGGATTTTCGACGAAAAATAAAACATACCCCCAAAATAGTCCCAAAAATAGTCGCCCATTCGGGGCGCTCCAGAAATGGCCTCGTCTTCGACGGACATCTCTTCCTCTGCGGAAGGCGGCGGAAGGCCCGCGTAGGGCGGCGGCGGTACAAGTTGCACCCCCGAGAGGTGGCGATCCTGGGTTCCTGGATCCCGCCATGTGTCCAGGCCTCCCAAATGGGGTCGAAGTAGATGGGGTCGGATGATTGCGCCGCATCGCCGATGCATCGGCGATGTGGAGCCCGACTTCTTCCACGCCGACGTCGCCGATGCATCGCTTATGCATCGCCAGTGCGTCGGCCATGCATTGGCGATGCGGTGCAATCCTCTGGCCCCATCTACTCGGACGCCATCTACTCGGATCGCATCTAAGAGGCCTTTAAATTGGCCTCATTGGCGTAAGCCAGCGGAAGTATATATATATATATATATATATATATATTGCACCTCCGAAGGGTGACAACTGTTTTTCCCAAGCATCCTGTGGTGTTGGATCCTCGTTTTGAAGTGACAGCGCCACGCATCCCTTTCTTCTCCTTCATCGAATTCCCCAGTGGTCGCGTTTGCATGCGCCGGCCGCAACCATTTCGGCACGCCCCTCGCACGTTTCGTGGGAGCCGCACCTCTTGTCGCACACCACTCACACGTTTCGTGGCCCCATAAGGAGCTCCACCGAAGGCCCCACTGGCTGCGTTCGCATGCGCCCGCCACGTAAATTTCGGCACACCCCTCACGCGTTTCGTGGCCCCATAGAAAGCTCTACAGAAGGGCGCAGCGGCTGCGTTCGCATGCGCCCGCCGCGCCCATGCTGGCATGCTCCTCACACTTTCCGTGGCCCCAGGGTGAGCTCCACCGAAGACCCCAGTGGCTGCGTTCCCATGCGTCCGCCGCGTCCATTCCGGCACACCCTTTGCACGTTTCGCGGCCCCAGGAGCTCCACCGAATGCCCCAGTGGCTGCGTCCGCATGCGCCTGCCGCACCCATTTCGGCACACCCCTCACACGTTTCGTGGCCCCATAGGGAGCTCCATCCAAGGCCCCACTGGCTGCGTTCGCATGTGCCCGCTGCACCCATCCCGGAACGCCCCTCGTGCGTTTCGTGGCCCCATAAGGAGTTTCACCGATGGCCCCAGTGCCTGTGTTCGCATGCGCCCGCTGCTCCCATTTCGGCACGCTTCTCATTCGTTTCGTGGCCCCATATGGAGCTTCACCGAAGGCCCCGGTGGCTGCGTTCGCATGCGCCCGCCGCACCCATGTCGGCATGCCCTTCACACGTTCCGTGGCCCCAGGGTGAGCTCCACCGAAGGCCCGCATCCCTCTCCTCTCCTCCATCGAAGTCCCCAGTGGCTGTGTTCGCATGCGCCCGCCGCACCCATTTCGGCACACCCCTCGCACGTTTCGTGGCCTGGTAGGGAGCTGCACCGAAGGCCCCAGTGACTGCGTTCGCATGCGCCCGCCGCACCTCTTGTCGCACACTCCGCACACGTTTCGTGGCCCCATAAGCAGCTCCTCCGACGGCCCCAGTTACTGTGTTCGCATGCGCCCGCTGCACCCATCGCGGAACGCCCTTCACTTGTTTCGTGGCCCCGTAGGCAGCTCCACCGAAGACTCCAGTGGCTGTGTTCACATGCGTCCGCCCCGTCCATATCGGTATATCCCTCACGCGTTTCGTGGCCCTACAGGGAGCTCCACCGAAGGCCCCAGTGGCGGTGGCCGCATGCGTCCGCCCCACCCATGTCGGGATACCCCTCGCACGTTTCGTGGCCCCATCGGAAACTCCACCGAAGACTCCAACGGCTGCGTTCGCATGCGCTCGGCGCGCCCATTCGGTACATACCTCGCACGTTTCGTGGCCCCATTGGAAGCTCCACCGAAGACATTCGCAATTGCGTTACTCACAGCTGCATATGGATTGGTATATCGCCAGGCTAATATATCTCGGGCTTTGTGTCCAGCATTCGTCCAGGGCTACCAGATGGGGTGGAAGTAGATGGGGTCGAAGGATTGCGCCGCATCGCCCATGTATCGCGATGCGGCGGCACGATGCGGAGCCCGATTTGCTCTACGCCGACGTCGCCGATTCATCCCGACGTCGCCGATGCATCATGCATCAGCGATGCGGCACAATCCTCCGACCCCATCTACTTTTCCTTCCTTCCTCCTTCCACATCCCCCATAGGGAGCTAGGGAGCTCCACCGAAGGCCCCATTGGCACAGTCTGCATGGCGTACCCGCATTCGATTTGGCGCACCCCTCACACGTTTCGTGGCCCCAATGGGAGCTCCACCGAAGGCACCTATTTTCGCACACCCCTCACACGTTTCGTGGCCCCATATGGAGCTCCTCCGAAGGCCCCAGTGGCGCTGTTCGCATGGCGTGCCCGCATCCGATTTGGCGCACCCCTCAAACGTTTCGTGGCCCCATCGGGAACTCCACAGAAGGGTATCAGTGGCAGAGTCCGCATGGCATATCCGTATCCGATTTTGCACACCGCTGACACGTTTCGTGGCCCCGTATGGAGCTCCACCGAAGGCCCCAGTGGCACAGTCCGCAGGCCGTACTCGCATCCGATTCGGCACACCCCTCAAACGTTTCGTGGCCCCATAAGGGGCGTCAATCGAAGGCCCCAGTGGCACAGCCCGCATGGCGTACCCACATCCGAGTTGGTACACCACTTACACGCTTCGTGGCCCCATATGGGGGCTTCATCGAAGGCCCTAGTGGCACAGTCCACATATCGTACCCACATCCGATTTGGCACACCCCTCGCCATGACGTGCCCGTATCCGATTTGGCACGCCCCTCACGCGGTTCATGGCCCCATAGGGAGCTCCACCGAAGGCCCATTGGCACAGTCCGCATGGCGTACCGGCATCCGAGTAGGCACACCCCTCGCACGTTTCGTGGCCCCACAGGGAGCTCCATCGAAGGCCCCCATGGCACAGTCCGCATGGCGCACCCACACCCGATTCGGCACACCATTCACACGCTTCGTGGCCTCATAGGGAGCTCCACCCAATGTCCCAGCGACACAGCCCGCATGGCGTGCCCGCATCTTATTTGGCGCACCCCTCACACGTTTCGTGGCCCCATCGGGAACTCCACAGAAGGGTATCAGTGGCAGAGCCCGCATGGCGTATCCGCATCCGTTTTTGCACACCCCTGACACGTTTCGTGGCCCCATAGGGAGCTCCACCGAAGGCCCTAGTGAGTGGCAGCGCCCTAACGGCGGCGCCGCATCCATGTCAACGCACCCCTCACACGCTTCGTGGCCCCATAGGGAGCTCCATCGAAGGACCCAGCGGCACAATCCGGATGGCGCACCCACATTGGATTCGGCACACCATTCACACGCTTCGTGGCCCCATAGGGAGCTCCACCGAAGGCCCCAGCGGCACAGTCCGCATGGCGTACCCGCATCCAATTCGGTACACCCCTCACGTTTCGTGGCCCCATATGGAGCTTCACTGAAGGCCCCAGCGGCGCAGTCTGCAGTCTCACACATCACATGTTTGATGTCCCACCGAGAATGACTTTCAGAGCTGCGGTACTTGCAACTGCAGATGGCCTTCGCCAGGTTATTTGTTCCCAACAATCCTATGGTGATGGGCCCTCGTTTTGAAGAGACATCGCCCCGCATCGCTTTCCTTCCTCCTCCCCCTTCCTCCCTCCTCCCATCCCTGCCTCTGTCGTCTGCATGTCCGCTTCGGCACACCCATCACACGTTTCGTGGCCTTCAGGGGAGCTCCACCGACGGCCACAGCGGCAGCGTCCGCATGGCATAGCTGTATCCGAGTGGGCAAATCCCTCACACGTTTCGTGGCCCCATAGGGATCTCCACTGAACGCCTCAGCAGCAGCGTCCGCATGGCGTACCCTCAACTAATTCGGCACACCCTCACACGTTTCGTGGCCCCGGAGGGAGCTCCACCGACGGCGCCAGCTTCAGCGTGCGCATGGCGGTGCCGCACCCAGTTCGGCACTCCCCTCACAAAATTCGTTGCCCCATATGAATCTCCACCGAAGGCCCCAGCTGCAACGTCCAGATGGCGCACCCACACTCAAGTCTGCATACCCCTCACACGTTTCGTGGCCCCATGGGTAGCTCCACCGACGGCCCCAGCGGCAGCGTCCGCATGGCGTACCCGCACCCGATCCAGCAAACCCCTCACACGTTTCTTTGGCCCGTTGGGAACTCTACCGAAGGCCCCAGTGGCAGCGTCCGCATAGCGTTACCAAACCCTATTCGGCACACCCCTCGCACGTTTGGTTGCCCCATGGGGAGCTCCACCGAAGGCCCCAGCGGCAGCGTCCGCATGGCGTACCCGCATCCGATTTGGCACACCCTCACACGCTCCGTGGCCCCATGGGGAGCTGTGCAGACGGCCCGAGCGCCAAGAAATTGTTTTTTTTGAGGCCGGCCAGCAATGTGTTAAGGCCTCGGATGTGGTCGAAGCAGACGGGGTCGGAGAATTGCGCCGCATCGCCGATGCATCGGCAATGCGGCGCGATGTGGAGCCCGACTTTCTCCACGCCGACGTCGTCGATGCATCGCCGATGCATCGCCGATGCGGTGCAATCCTCCGACGCTATGCGCTCGGACCACCATTTACCCAGACCCCCGACGCTTTGTTTTTTTCATAACGTCGACCCCTGGAGGTCTCGACCCATTCTCCAGGACCAGTTCTTCATCCTGAGTTGTTTTTTGACTGTCCCGAGGCCCGCCAATTGCCCCCAGACAGCGAAAAACGTACCGTCATGATTTTGTCATGGCCCCAGGGGGGCTGGGATTGTGGCGACCATCCCTCATCAGCCTGGCGGCGAATCTTGGACCGGGCGCTCCCGGCGCAGGTACTCCGCAGGCGAGGCGCAGGCTGCAGCTCCTCGCGGCTCTGGGCGCCATGCGGACTGGCGGCGCGGCCGCCCTCGTCGCGGGCGGCTGCCAGTGGTGCCGGCGCGTCCCGAGGCCGAGACTGGTGACCTCCCGCTTGATGCCGCTACTCTGATGATAATGATGATGCTGGTGATGATGATGCTGATGATGATGATGATGATGATGATGATGATGACGGTGATGATGATGATGGTGATGGAAATGATGATGATACGTCATCGTTATCACACTCATCACCACCATCACCATCGTCATCATCATGAGTTGCAGTATTATCGTTAACATCATCACCACCGCCATCATCATCACCATCATCACCATCACCATCACCATCACCATCACCGTCACCATCACCATGACCACCACCACCATCATCATCAACATCATCATCATAATCATCATCATCATTATCACCGTCATCCTCAGCAGCATCACCACCATCATCAGCACTTAAACATCACCATTGTCACTATCATCACAAGACACCATCATCATACTACAATTAGCATCATCGTCATCATCATCATCATCATCGTCGCGATTATCATCACCATCACCATCATCAATCATCATTGTCATCATCGTCATCAGCATCATCATCATCATCATCATCATCGCCATCACCACTTTCACCATCATCATCGTTATCATCATCGGCATCATCATAATCATACCGATTATCATCACCGTCATTATCATTATCATCATCATCATCGTCATCATCATCATCGTCATCATCATCATCGTCGTTATCACTTCCACCATCATCATCGTTGTCATCATCGGCATCATCATCACGATCATCTTCACCGACATTACCATCATCGTCATCATCATCATCGTCATCATTGTCATCATCATCGTCGTCATCATCATCATCGTCGTTGGCTCAAGCCGTAGGCTCAAGAGGCTGAAGAGGCAGTAGCCCCTTTGGCGAACCCCTCCGAGCCTCCGCGGGCGAGAGCGCGCCCCGCGAGCAGCCCCCTGACCAGCATGGTGGCCATCGGCGGCGTTGGCATGCCCGGCGTCCTCAAGCTTGTGGTGCAGGCATTCCTCGAGGATGAACACTACAAGACGTTGTAGAGTTCTCGCGGAGCAGTGGAACAGCTGCCACTCCCTCACGGCCGCCGTGAAACTCATGGAGGCGCACGGCGTCAGGATCACAAAGGAGGAGGAGCTGCGCCTGCTCGAGTTCGAAGACGAGAGCTTCATGATCGACGCGCTGGTGGCGAAGATGCCGCAGCAGAGCCGGGAGCAGTTCGAGCACTTCTTCCTGCAGCTCTCATTCATCGCCTCCACCACCAAGCGCATGCGGGAGGCCCTGCAGGACGGAGACGTCCAGACCGTGGCCGACGCGATGGAGAGCGCGGAGAACATCGGCGTCCTGCCGCACATGCTGAAAATGATGGTGCTCCAGGCGGGCGTCGAGGTAAAGCGGCGCGAGGGCATCCGCGGCACGTTCCTCGAGGAGCAAGACGGAGAAGACGGGCCCGCTGCTGCAGGCGCAGGCCAGTCGTTTGGAAGTGCAGGAGGAGCTCTCGAAGGCCAGGGCGCAGATGGGCGACTACCGCTCGTCCGCCAGGGACAAGGGCAAGAAAGTGCTCCTGAACATGGCTGAGGCCAATGATAAGAACTTGATGGAGAACTGGTTTGGAGAGTGGGCGAGGTTCGTCCGGCAGGAGAAGCTCGAGGCGGAGATCGTGGAGGCCGAGGGCTACGAGGAGACGCTCGCAGAGGCCAAGCAGAAGATCATTGACTTCAGGAGCAAGCATCTGGCGAACGCCAGGTCGGCCATGCAGAAGAACTTCCAGGACGCCCAGCTCGGGTCGGTCGCGAGCGTCTTCGAGGCCTTCAAGGCGAACCTGGAGGAGAGCAGGCGCCGCAATGCGGGGGGCGACTCTCTGAAGGAGCACGAGGGGCGGCTGAAGGCCTACAACGCGCAGGCGAGGGTGAACGCCCAGAAGGCTATGGCGAACATGAACGCGGGCAACGACGCCTTCCTCGTGGAGATGGTCTACAACTTATGGGTCGAGGCGCTGGAGGAGTATAAGAAAGACAAGGAGGCCATCGACAAGCAGCGGGCTTTGGAGAAACAGATGGCAGAGATGATGAAAACGCAGAATCAGGGCGCCATGGAAATTATGTGAAAGATGGGCGCAGCGTCTGAGACGGGGCTGCTCGCTGGAGTCATCAAGGAGTGGAAGGAGGTCGTCGATGATACCAAGCAGGAGAACGAGGTCCAGGAGCAGCTGAAGATGAAGTCCAGCCAGCTGGCCAGGATGGCCCAAAGGAGCAAGGCGAACGCAAACAACCCTTCGGCGCGGATGTCGGAGCTGCAGGACATGCAGGTCACCATGTTCTGCTTCTGCCACTGGAAGCGCGAGATCCAGGTGCAGAGAGTGAAATCGTACGGCCGCAACAGGAACCAGAAGCGGGAGAAGGAGCTGCTGGGCGTCAAGTCTCTGTTCAGGGACTTCGCCAGCAAGCTGGACAAGACGCTCGATCAGGACACCGTCACCCCCCGCCTGCAGGACAGGGGCGCCGCGAGGCCCAAGCGCGAGTCGCCGCCGCAGCATCGCAGCCCGCAGCCGCCCTGAACTGGCCTCGCCTCCCACCCTCCTACTCCTCTTTCAACCCCCCGCCCCCCCTCTCCCCCTCGACTTCCCAACGGCGCGCGCCCGCAACGCCGAACGGCGTCCCGGACGGGCGCTGCAGCGCCCCGTGGGTAAACAAATATCCCAAACCAACAAATCATCATCATCGTCATCATTACCATCATCGTCATCATCATCATCATCACCATCAGCATAATCATCATCATCACCATCATCATCATCATCATCATCATCATCATCATCATCATCATCATCATCATCATCATTCTCATCATCATCATCGCCATCGCCATTGCCATCGCCATCGTCGCCATCATCATCCTCATCATCGTCGTCACCATATTCAACACCATCACCAGTACCATCACCACCAGCATCATCATCGTAATCACTACCACCATCATCATCACCATCATCATCAACATCAACATCATCACCACCATCATCATCATCCCCACCACCACCATTATCATCACTTATGTCTGTACATATATATATATATATATATATATATAAAAGTCGTATTGTTATTCTTATTATTGTTATTTATTAGTATTAGTACTATGATTATCCGTATTTTTAGTATTCGTATTCGCATTATTATTCGTATTTCTGTTATTATCTGATTAAGATGATTAAGATTACTATTACCATTACCACCATCATAACTACCATCATTAGCATCATCATCAACATTGTCGTCAACGTTATCATCATCATCGCCATCAGCATCAGCATCAGCATCAGCATCATCATCATCATCATCATCATCAGCATCAGCATAATCATCATCATCACCGTGGATGCGGTCAGGAACTTTGCCTCAACGTGTCGCGCTGGTGGTTCTGGCCCACCACGCTTCGTCGCGACACGCTACCCGCTTCCCAGTCCCCCACCGTCAATGTCCTGAGCTTTTCCCAGCTTCCCGCCCGAGGAGCGGAGCGACACGCTATCCACTCGCAAGGCATAGCGTGTCGCCATGGCCGCCGCTGCGACACGCTAAGCCGAAGTTCCTAACCGTAGGCTCAGGGGGGGCGGATGCATCCACCCCCAGTTGTCCACGGGTCGCCGATGGGGGCCCGATAGCCCCACCCCGCCCATGAAGGTGTGGATGTGCGATCGGGACGCATCGCCGATCTATCGGTGATGTATCGCCGATTCCAGCCCCCCTCCATGAGCTGGTCGCCCCCTAACGTTGCCCCTCCCCCGTGACAGTGCGTATCGGTGCAACGTCGACGTCGCCGCTGCCATCGACCCCGCCGCCGCCGCCGTCATCGCGCTTGCACGCGGGTGCGATGCTTTGCCGGGGGCTGCCTCGCTAGGAATTGTCCGCATCGAGTTTCCGGGCAGCTTCTCTGTCAACGATCGGAGGTGCGGTACAGCCCATCGCTCTTGCACTGTCCTGGCTGCCCCCAGCCGCTTGAAGATCGCGAGTGGCAGCCATGCGTGCATGGGTTTGCAGATCGCGAGAGGAGGACAAGGAAGCGGATCCAAGCGACGGGTTCAAGTTAATGTCACCACGTGATTCGACGAGGGAGGCGATCCCAACAACCATCACCAGAAGGCAACCCCTGCAGGCATCACCCGTCGTCGACAATCATATCACAGGTCGCTCCACGGCTCGCGGCCCATCAGCGACAAAAGACCCGCGGCTTGGGCGGGGGGAGGGAAGACGCAACGACATTGTCACGAAGCTCTGCGTCCCTCGTCCCTCAATGGGGGACCCTGACCCAGCCTCCCCCCCGCGGGGGCAGGGAACGGGGAGGAGGGGAGACCCCCAGCACGCACCCCGATGGGGCAACGACGGCACCGCGCTGTCCCAGGACCACGGGGGCACCCAGCTGTTCAGGGCGCCACCACGTGCAGGCCGCAGCCTGGGCAGCGGCAGTCTCGTGCACCGCTCCGAGGTGGGGGGGTATCGCGCACAGCGCGTGGCGGTCCCTTCCCGCCTCAGGTGCAGACCTTCCCTGATGCGGGACGGGCTTTCCTGTCCTCCGCGGGGCTCACCCCGCCGCCCTTTTCGCATGTTGGCGGGCATCGGCGGTGGTGAAAATCCGCAGCACGTGCCAAAGGGCACCCGGCACTGAGCCCAACCGCTCATCACACGGGTGCGACGACTCACCGTGTTAACCAAGACCACGCATGCCCCCCCACCCGCGGCCCTCTCACGAGGTCCCGACGAGGCCACCGGGGCGCACGGCCGCGGCTGGGATCGGGCATCCCCGTGGCGCAACACTCGGCCGATCATGTAGCCCTTCTGCACGCTTACAGAGTGCACAAGAGTGCACTATTTAATAGTGCGCAATATTCAAGTACAATGTTTAAATCTTTCGTTCAAGCATCGCCAGTAGGAGGATATGCCCGACATAACAGGATTTGCTTGCACACCTGGCGCTGCCACTTGCACTCCGCTCCCTGGAGACCCCTGGAGACCGTGGGCCGATCCAGCCCGCCATCGCAAGCTTGAGGCGAGAAGAGAGGGCCGTTCTGCTGTCGACTCTCTCCTCCGTCTCCGCTCGCTCGCAATCCGCCTCCAGGGACAGCTCGAGGGCGCGCCTCCGCGCGAGCTCTTTCGTGGCAGCCGCGGCATCCCGCAAGTCTGCCCTCTCGGCGGGGTGAGTGCGTGCCGGCTCGTGCGCAACCTCTGCAGCCCTCCCAGCCACCACATCCGCTATCGTGTTGCCGGCGGCCAGCTTGCCTGGCGGCGCCCAGCGTCCTCCTCGGCGTGGGAGTGGGCCCACTCGAACGTGCCCACCTCTTGCCCCCCGGAGGCCAGTGCTCGGCGGGCCCGTTGCCAGAGCTCCTCGTTGCCCGTTTTGGACCGCCTCAGTCTGCGGGGCGGCCAGGCTAGCACCAGGGCCTGATGGTCCTTCACAGGGCGCAGATCTGCAGACGAGTTTCCGGGGGCCAGGCGCGGGGCCGTGGCTTCAGCCCTCGGGACGCTCTGTCCCACGAGAGGCACGGCGATCATCGCACCAGGGCTCCAACCATCCGCACCCTCTTGGACCGTGGCCACGGCTGCTCCACAGCGCCGTCGTCTGGGATCATCCGAAGACTTCGCTGCCGACCCGTCCCCGAACGCGGTCAAGCGCACGCCCGCCTGATAGAGGATCAAGATGATGATGGTGACGATGACGATGATGATGACGATGATGGCGACGATGATGATGCTGATGATGATGACGACGATGATGATGCTGATGATGATGACGATGATGATGCTGCTGATGATGATGATGCAGCTGCTTCTGCTGATGATGATGCTTATGAAGATGATGCTGATGATGCTGATGCTGATGCTGATGCTGATGAGGATGATGATGCTGATGATGCTGCTGATGATTTCTGATGATGATGAATAAGCTGCTGCTGATGATGATGAGGAGGAGGAGGAGGAAGAGGAGGAGGAGGATGATGAGGAGGAGGAAGAGAGCCAGGGAATGCAGCCGCAAGGTATACGTCTGTGCAGTGGCGGTGTTTCTGATCATCGTCTGCGAGCAGGTCGAGGCGGCGCATAGCGGGCACTGGTTTTTAGCTCTGTCTGCTGCGCCTCTGGGCCTTCTAATTTTTCCTGTCGCACAGCGGGGGCCACATATTGTCCCTCCGGTCAAGATGCACCCACCCTGGATCGAGGCGAATGAGGAGTTGGAACGAAATCAGCGAGGATGGGGCCTAGAGGAGTAGTGGGAGGAGAGAAGCGGGAGCAGGGGAGAGGAACGGCAGAGTAGGTGAGTGGAGGAGGAGGAGGAGGAGGAGGAGGAGGAGGAGGAGGAGGAGAAGATACTGTATGCGAGTGCACGCTCGTGATTCAGCAAAGTGCGCACTCGACCATGGACTATGGCCACAGTCAACCACGTTTGCTTAGCGTCTCGCGCCGCTGGCTTGCCCACCACGCTTCGGCGCGACACGCTAACCGCTTCCCAATTGCCACTCGTGAGTGTCTCGAGCTTTTCCCAGCCTTCCGCCTCGCTGCTTGCAGGGCATAGCGTGTCGCAGGGGCCGCCGCCGCGACACGCTAAGCAAAAGTTCCTGATCCTACATACGTAGGAGTGTATGCGCGTGCTTGCGCTCATTGCTGCAACTCGTCGTTGGGTGGCGTGGGTTCCTGACCAGTGATCCTCTCACGGCCACAGGAGTGCGCCGACTGGGGTGGGAAGAATCGGTCGCACCAGAACTTGAGCACCAAGGCCAGGCTTGGGCTCGACTCTAGTAATGTGGTCCTGGTCATCATCTTCCTCCTCTGGTCACTCTGGTCAGACCTTCGCCGAGACTCTGACGCCGCGGCCGCGTCTCCGCTCGGCTCGGGCAGATCTCTGCACAGAGTGTGGGCGGATACATCCCTGGCCCGTAGCTCTCGCCCCTTGGCGGCCGGGCGCGACAAAGCGCTGCTGGCGGCCCAGCAGACAGACGAGGCATACCTGGAGGACGAGCAAGGTCGAAGGCTTGGGCTCTCAGCGCTCAGGTCGCTGCGGCTCTCCAGGGGGCCATCTGACTTGCCAGCAAGCTTCCCCCCAGCCCCTGTCAGTTGGCTAAGAGGACCTCGAGAGCAGCTGTCAGGTCCACCCCGCGAGGCCCCGTCCCGTGTGTAGTTTCGTGCCTGCCTGCAGCGGTGGCGCTGTCCCCTGCGGCACCTCTGGGTGCACGCCATCCTGGCCGTTCTCGCCTCGAACCAGCCGTCCTGCCATCGACGAGCCAGGCCACTGAGACGACTGGTGGCTTCATCAAGATGGTAGGAGGGATGCTCACGCCGTGCCCCGAGGTGTGCGTGCGCTTTAGACAAGCGCTGCAGAAGAGCTCACCGTCTGACGACCAGCACCCTGGCAGCGCGCTCGCTCTCGCTCCTCGGGACGCTGTCGCAAGTGTTGCCGAAGATGTCTGCCTCAACGCAGGCCTGTCTTGCGGTTGGTCGCCGATGGCACGGTGGGCCTCGCCGCCACTTTGGTCGAGCATCTCTAGGGGCCTTCGCTGCACTGATACGCTCGTTCTGAAACTCAACGCTACCCTCTTCATATCGTCCTTGTTAACACGCTGCGCGTTGGCTCGGGACGTGTTGGACCACACTTTGGCGAACGTATCACGCCAGACATACGTTTTCAATGTACGTGTTGAGATCCGAGTCAGCACGCTACGGGTTGTGTGTTGCGTATCGGGGCGGCTATTCTGGGGGCTAGCGGATGGCGTGCCGGTGCGGTGCATGGACCTGTGGTCCATGCCTTGCAGCCTCTGCCACCGCTGGCTGAGTTGGACGCCTTCCTGGCAGCCGCCAGCCATCGCCGGCCGTGGAGAAGCTTTCAATTGTAAATGCAGGGCGTTGACATCGAGCCTCCATGCGCGCGGCCAAAAGCGTATTCGCCTCTCTGTGCTTTGCACTTGTGCCTGGATCTTCAGCGTGGCCACCAACTGTTTTCGGCCGCTGGTTGGAGTCACCAGCGAGTCAAGGGGAAACGTGTGCGTGTGTGTATTGTGTGTCGCCGGACCCGCCGCCCCACTCCCCGACGGCCCTTCCGAGCCGGCTCAACCAAGCCGACTGAACCTAGTGTCCTGGCAGTTTTCGTTGTGATCAGACCACATCACACCAGAGGATCTATTAACCAGGCAGTTTTCGTTGTGATCAGACCACATCACACCAGAGGATATATCAACCAAGCATGGCCGCGAGGATTGCGTCGGCAAAAAAAAACACTCCCCGACGGCCCTTCCGACGGCTCAGTCGACGGCCTTCCCGGCGACGCGGCCGTTGCTGCATCAGCCGCCGGTTCCGACGCCGCTCCCGACGCCGCTCCCGACGACCTTCCCGACTCTGTGAGTGGCTCCGTTCCTGACGCTGTGCCCGGCGGCGTCCCTGGCAGCCCTCCCGCCCCCCCCGCGCGTCGGCCCCCCCGACAGCTCACCCGACAGCCTTCCAGTCGGCGTTCCTGCCGCCAGAGCCGTCGACGTAAGCCACGCCGCATCCGACTCCGGCCTTGTGACGACGCCTCTCCCGACAGACCCTACGCTGGATGGCGCCACGGCAACTCTCTCGCTCCCCACTGGCCGCCTGACAGGGCCCCTGGCGCAGGGGCCTCTCCCTGGTCGACGGCCCCAGTGCGTCGCCGCGCCCCCCGCAGTGTTCCCATCTCTACTTCTCGGCAGACTGGCGTTCTCCCAGCGCCACCCCCGCGCGCGAATCGGATTCCCACGGTTGGGTCCTCGATGCTCCCCCTCGCGACCCCCCCCCGCCTCTCCGACCCCACCCCCAGAAGCCAGAGCCAGAATCAAGCTACAATTCCAGAATCAGATCGGGCAGGACCTGCTGTTTCTGGCAGATGCGAGAAACAGAGCTGGAGTTCGATGCCGTCTGCAACGATTCAATAACGGCTTGAAGAGCACGCGCGCTGGGAGAAAGACCCGCTGAGCTGGGCCCGCCCCTTCCCGCCCCACCCTGCCTTTGTGTTTGTGTGCTTGTGCCTCCTTTCCTCCTTCCCCGCCTCCGTCCTTGGCTGGCTCCTCCTTTCCCTCCTCGTACCTTTCCTTGCCCTTCTGGTGTGGCGCCTAAACCCTGAATTCTTAATCCTATAATTGTTAAATCTTAATTACTGCAAAAGCGGTCACCATGCAAACCCGCTCCATCTACTGCAAAAAATAGCATTTTCTGAGCATGCGTGCATAATTTCTTTTTTTTACAGCACAAAGTGCCCAGTCCCCGTCGCGACCCCGCCCCACCTACTGCAAAAAAAAGCATTTTCTGAGCATGCGTGCAGAATTTCATTTTTTTTTGCAGCACAAAGTGGGCGGTCCCCGTTGCGACCCGCTTATGTAAACCGGCTCCATCTATTGCAAAAATAACATTTCCTGATCCTGCGCATGCTCCATCCTGAGCATGCGTGCAGAATCTCTTGTACTTTATCATACAAAATGCGACCCCCTTAGCCGTTCGAGCACTCGCGTGCCCACTGGATCGCACATCCGTCGTCGCCGTCGTCGTCGTCGTCGTCGACGTTGCACTCGCTGCGGCCGATGTTGTTACAAGGAGAGGAGAGATGATCTTTATGATGGGGTGGCTTGCGGGTGGGATTGACGGCCACCGCAGGTGGGTTCGTGGGCAAGTTGTAATCGCGGCCAAGCCTGTTAGACCCTAAACCCTAAATTCTTAATCCTATAATTATTAAATCCTAACTACCATAAAACAGGCCCGTATGCAATCCGCCTCCATCTACTGCAAAAAATAGCATTTCCTGCACATGCGTGCAGAATCTCCAATTTTTTACAGCACAAAGTGCCCAGTCCCCGCCGCGAGCCCGCTCCATCTGCTGCAAAAAATAGCATATCCTGAGCATGCGTGCATAATTTCATATTTTTACAGCACAAAGTGGGCGGCCCCCGTCGCGACCCGGTTATGTAAACCGGCTCCATCTACTGCAAAAAATAATTTCCTGATCCTGCGCATGCTCCATCCTGAGCATGCGTGCAGAATCTCTTGTATTTTACCATACAAAATGCGACCCCCTTCTGTACACCGCCTCCATCGCCTGGACAACCTCGCGCTTCCTGCGCATGCGTGCAGAATCTTTAGCCCGTTAGAGCACTCGCGTGCCAACTGGATCGCACATCCGTCGTCGCCGTCGTCGTCGTCGTCGCCGTCTTTGACGTTGCACTCGCTGTGGTTATATCGAGGGGGGATATGATCTTTATGGTGGGGTGGCGTGCGGGTGGGAGTGGCGGCCACCGCAGGCGGGTTCGCGGTCCAGGTGTACTCGTGGCCACGCCTAGTAGACCCTAAGCCCTAAACCCTAAACCCTAAACTCTTCATTCGGCTTTCCATTCCCCTCTCCCGTCGGTCGGCACGCGGCCCCTCGTGTCTGTTCGTCCCCCTCCCTTGGCTGTCGGCTGTCGCTCCTCATTCCTGGCTTCCCTCTTCGCTTCGCTTGGCCCCCCCTTGCCTCTGTCCCGCTGGCCCCTCATCGTTCCAATTTTGCCGGCCGGCTTTCGGCCCGTCCTGCTTCGTCGTCTTTTGTTGTTTCCCTTTCTGCTTCGCACGGCTTTACCCCGCCTGGCCGCGCTTTGCTTGGATGATCGTGCGAGCGGCTTCTCCGCTCCCAGCGCGTGCGCCCGAAACACATATGTGTGTATGTGTATATGTATACGTATTCGTATATGTATATGACTATGACTATGGGTGTATATATATATATATACACACGTCGATATATTTGCAGGTGTGTATGAATATATTCGTTTATACGTATCTGTAGATATACACATGTTTATGCATACGTATATACATATATACATGTTTATGTAGATTTACATGTATGAATACATGTATTTACATGTATGTGTATATGCAGATGATTATGTATATATTTCAGGATGATTATTTACGTGTGTATATGCATATATATATGTACAAATGTATGTTCGTATGTGTTTGTATGCGTGCATGTACGTATGTATATATGCACGTATGTATGCATGTACGTGTGCATGCGCGTATGTATGTATGTATGCATGCATGCAGTACTGTATGCATGTATGTATACATGCATATAGATAACTGTATGTATTTTGCTAGGCATATCTGCATGTTTGTATTTGTGCACGTATGCATACATGTATATATGTATGCAGGTATGTGTGTATGTATGTATGTTTGTATATCTGTCTGTCTGTCTGTATGTATGTATGTATGTATGTTTATACGTGTGTGTATATATATATATATGCATAGATATGGTGTGTGGGTGTGAGTGCTTAAAACGTGGGCGTGGATGGTTCCGTGGCAATTAGCACCAGGGTGTTCGCGCTTCAGTTCAAGTTGAGTCGAACTCGTTCGGACGTGCTCTTCGGTTTTCTGGCCGCTGCAGGCTCGGTGGGTTGCAGTCCTTCCCACCCACTATCCATCCCTGCACGTTAGTGATCGGCGTTCCTTTCGCTGCGCTTTCGACCATGCCCGATCGCAATTCGCACTTCCATCTGCTGCCCGCGCCTGAGGGCCCTCTGCGCCGCTGACTTACACACACACATGTGTGTGTGTGTGTGTGTGTGAGTGAAGTTTTTGTGTAACAGTGATTTTTTTGGTATTAGTTCTCATCTGGTTATTCTGGCTCGCTTGGGCTTCCACTGCTGTTGCCAGCGCCTCGCCGAGCGAGCGCTGGCCTGTGGCATCGTCTCGTTTCTTCGTCTGTCCCCTCCGCAGCCCATGCCCCAGTGGTCGCATGGCATGTTGATCCCCAGCGGTAGATCCCCCCTGCCCCCGTCTCCTGAGTGGGCCAGCCGCGCGGGCGCTTTCGGCTACAGACTTTCAGCGCTCCGACACGCCCCAATCATTGTGTGTGTTTGTGTGTGTGTGTGTGTGTGTTTGTGTGTGTGTGTGTTTCCCGTCTGTCGTGTCTATTGCTTGCCTGGCGGCGGCGCCTGTCTCGCTTGTGCCTGTCCCGCGTCGCCGCTTGCTGGCTGGTGTGGCAGCCCTACAGTGCTTTCTTTGAAAATGGTTAATTGGCACCTGACTGCTGCCCGCGCCTCAACTCCTGGCGTCGAGCTACGTTCCGCGGGATGGTTGGCCGCTGCACTTTGGCTTTGCAGTGCCTCATCTTTTCACCACCACCACCAATCTGCATGGCGGTGGCGGGGTTATTTTGTCACGGCGCGTTCGACCAAGTTCGTTCGCAATTGGCAGGTCCATCTGCCGACCGCGCCTGAGGTTCCTCTGCGTCGCCGACTTCAAGTAAGTGTGTGTGTGTGTGTGTGTGTGTGTTCCCGGTTTTCTCGCACCGCCGTGTTTAAGCCTGAGTGCGCCGACATGCGTTTTCCTTGCCCTCGTTACCGCGACCCGTAACTCTGATTCCGTGGTTTGGATGCAGCCGTCAGGTGGTCCATTCGCTATGGGCGTATCCCGTCCTATTCGAGCTTGCACCGCTATTTGCACCCCGTCGGCGGGGCGGAGGAAACAAAATGCGTGTCCATGTGTGTGTGTGCGTATGTACATGTGCGTGGATTACTCCGCCCACTTACTTTCGATCCTCGTTCTTGTGGTCCCTGCGCCCGTGCTGCTCCGTTGTCTCCTCCGGCGAGGCGCCATCGTAATCTTTCGTGCGCCGCACATATGACGAACGGCGCGCCGTCGTTACATGCAGCAGACCCAGCAGCAAACCCAGCAGGATGGCAGCGCGCATGCGGTGCCAGGCCAGGCAGAGGAGCAGAAGGGTGGGGAAGTGCGCGAATTTGGCGTGGGAGAGGGAATGGTGTGCTCTTCGCGCGCGCGCGCTCGGGCAGGCTGCCCCGTCCATGCCCCTTGCGCGGCGCGCTGGGGCGTGCCCGCCCCTTGCCTCCGAGGAGATGGCCGCCGCTGGGCCAGGGCCCTGGCTGCCCGCTGCCAGCAGCAGCGGATCCTCGCCGCTCTGCTCGCCGCACTGCGCTGTACCGTGCGCGGTGGGCGGGGTGGAACGGGGGGCTTGCGTCAGAGGAGGAACAGGTACCGATACCGCTACCGTTCGCCCGTTTTCAGAATTTTTGTGCCTCCTGGGAGGCCCTCGTCGCCACCGTTGGATTCGCTTCGAAGTTTTGGTCAGAACGCACCCCTGGAGAGGTCCGGGGAGTAGCGGTATCGGTACCTCTTGTTCTCCCCATTGCCGGGCCCAGCGGCGCCCGCGCATGGTTTCGTTTCTCGGCCGCTGGGGCGCTCCCATGCCGCGGCGGCTCGGCTCTGCTTGGGGGGTTGGTTGAGCATGACGCCTGGGCCGGGCTCCGGGCCCGACCGCGACCAGGCGCTGGTCGGAGGAAGGAGATGTGTTGTCTCCAGAGGGGCGTGCGGAGCAACACCGCCTTGTTGCAACATCCCTCACTTCCTCGCCCTCCGTCCTCAGCAAACTGTCCTTCCGCAGCTCTTGGCGTCTTGCTGCCTTGTCACGTGTCCTGCCTCTCGCTCGGCCTCTGGTGACACGGGAGCCCGCTTTCCTCACAGCCAGTCAGAAGGAAGGTGGGTTCACCGACAAGCAGGAGGTAGCGTAGCCCCTTCCCCGACCTTGCAGAAGGGCTCATCGTCGAGATGGGAGGGGGAGGGGGGGAGGGGAGGAGGGCAAGCTAGGTGCGCTCGCGTCATATCTGACATCCTACCCCTCCCTCCCATCCCTTACCATGGCGCAGATCCCCTCTCTACTCGCACAGTCGGATGTCAAGCAGGGCGATGATCCTGAAAGGGTACGCGATGCATTGTAGAGCACGGCATGGCATGGCGTAGAAGAGCACCGCGAAGCGTAGTATCAACCTGGCATTGCATTGCATGCCGTGGCATGGCACGGGAAATGACGCCAGCGCTGCAGCGGGAGCACGAGTCGAAACGAGCGGAAGCGCAGAAATGAGGCCAGCGCTGCAGCGGGAGCACGATTCGGAACGAGCGGAAGCACGGAAATGAGGCCAGCGCTGCAGCGAGAGCACGATTCGGAACGAGCGGGGCCCGAATATGAGGCCGGCGCCTCAGCGAGAGCAGCATTTTGGCAAAAATTGCAGGCGAAAGCCTAACTCCGGGGAAGGCTTCCCGGGCGCCAGAAGCAGAAATTCAGCATTTTCAAAAAAAATTGTATTGGAATGGCCTTTTTTCGGCGCTGCCTCGGAACTCGATTTTCCGGCGCCGGCCGGAACCGGCTCCAGACCGGGCGCCAGCTCGGGCGTGCAGCCCGGGCGCCAGCGGAAATGATGCCAGCGCTGCAGCGGGAGCACGATTCGGAACGAGCGGGGCCCGAAAATGAGGCTGGCGCCTCAGCGAGAGCAGCATTTTGGAACAAAAATGCAGGCGAAAACCCAACTCCGGGGAAACCTGTGTGTAAAAAAACAGTACGCGGGGGGGGGGGCGAATATTCCCAAGACGTCATCAGGGGAAGAGGGAGAGTAGTATTCATATTGAGTAATTGTGCAGAGGAGGGGGAGTAGGTGGGCTAATTGCCCCCTCTTCGGGTGGAGGCTGTGGGACACCCCGCTCGGAACTCTTGGCCGAAATCGAGAGCCATTCTGGCTGCGGAGGACATTTGGCGTTCCTCGCACCTCGTGTCCAGCGGTCTTGTTTGCGCAGCCCGTTGCACGTATGAGGTCGGTTCCTTTTTCCACTCGGGTCTTGACTCAAGGGAACAAAAAGTATCATAAACATAAAACTTGGAGGTTCGCGCGGATTTCTCGGATCGGCGCTGGACCCCCCTCCCTGGCGCGCGGAGCGCGCCAGGGGCGGCGCTGGAGGCGCCGCCGGGGGGCCCCAGCGCCGACCCGAGAAATCCGCGCGGGCCTCCGAGTTTTTATGTTTATGCTGCTTTTTCTTCCCCTATGACTGGAAATATTTTTTCAAGCCTGATGATCCGACCTCTTTCCATATCTTTGGGCTCGACGGACGGAGGATACCCTGCCTCAAAACGGGGCTCTCGCCCGAACGGTTTGGCTGCTGCATGTGTTTCAAGGGGCCCAAGGACACACAAACAAATTCACACAAATAAGCATGTTCCCCATCCTTTCCTATATTTTCTGGGTTTTTGTCTTCCCGCCCAATTCCCATATTTTCTTATATTTTCTTGGGTATCGACGATTCATTGTGTCTGTGTGTTTTGTTCCCTGCTGAGTATTGTCTCACCAGGGGGGGACTTGGGACGGGAGGGTGTACAGCAGCATCGTTACTGCGTCCGAGGCCTGCTCTGGTCCTCTTTCCCCTTCTCAGGGGGGCAGGGAGTCCGTAGCCGTGTGTCCAAGTGGGCGCTCATTTCATTGAAGACACTCCTTTCCCGGAACGTGCAATCCGGAGCATTCATTTGTACACGTCTTAGCCGTCGTCAACACAACGATGACGCACAACTTGACCATTGCGATGGCGTTTGCGCTTGCTGGCGCCGTGGCCGCTGATTTGCAGCTGATACAGGTATTTGCGCAGCAGCCGGAGGCGTCAAAGCTGCGGACTTCAGCAGAGATCGAAGAGCTCACGGACTCCAGCGGCCGTCCGGCGGAGACGCCTGAACCGACGATGGAGCCTGGGGTTCCATGCCTCTGCAACTGCACTGGTTCGTGCTGCTCCTTCGTATATTACGACACGGATGGTAGTGGATGTCTTGAGCATTCGGAGGCCGAAAGGGCGGGTGCAAATTCGACATACATGAGTCCGCCTTATGAGCAGTACGACTTGGATGGCGACGGCTGCCTCAACGAGACGGAAGCAGTCTGCCCTCCAGATGTGCCAACAAGTGGTGAATCCCCTTGTGGACAGTATGTGGCGGTTGGCACGAGCGTTCCCCAGTCATGTGCTGGGCAAACCAGGCGTCGCCGTACGAATGAGTGCGCCAGTTGCGATACTGGCACGTTCGCTGTTGCCGACTGCGACGATTGCATGGAGGATGACGCGATGTACCTCAGCGCGAGTGCAAGTGTGAGCGACACCAGGATCTATGTCAACAAGGACACCGACTTGGGCGGATTTGCTCCGACCGTCGGGGATTCAATCACGATTTCGAAGTGCTGCTGTGAAAGCGCGAGTGACCACGGTACGTTTGTCATCACAGGCGCTGCGCCTACCACCCCGGTTAACTCCTTCGATATTCCGGCATTGACTATGGATTTCAGCCAGTACGATCGTGTTACCAAGACTTGTTCTTCGACCGACGGAGTTGGCTATCCCAGCTTCTTTCCGTGCGGATGTGGCTCCGAAGTTTGTGGCGAGTCAACGAAGTGCGATATTACTGGCAATGGTGGTTGCGGCGCTTGCATCCCCACCAGCTTGCCGACACCAGCCCCGACAGTGTCGGCCAAGGGCGACCCGCATTTGGTCAATCTGAATGGGGAGCACTTCGACGTGAACCACGGAGGCGAGTTTACTCTCTTGCGGATCCCCCAGAACACTATCAAGCCCGCCGAGGTGGAGCTGACGGCTACTATCCTCCCCGAGCACGGGAAGCCGTGCACCACATACATCACCGAGGTGGAGCTCTCAGGCAGTTGGCTCGGAAGCAAGGTCGTGCAGGTGCGCTCCTACCTCAGGTCGCATGCCAAGAACGAGACCGACAAATTTCTGGGCCTCCGTGTGCTGGATCGAACCCCCAACGCGCTTGCCGACGAGGCCCCTTGGGAGAAACTTTCGCAGTGGGCCGACGCGAGCTACGTCGTTTCGGAGCCTCAGACACAGGATGGCTTCGGGGTGACCGTGTCGACGGCGAAATGGCACAGCAACAAGGACGCCAGGGAGGATGTGCCGACCGTGGCAGGGCAGGTCGAGATCCAGGTGAGTAACAAGTTGCTGAGCAGCGAACCCACGAAGTTCGTCATTCGTCAGGACCTGCCCAGGCAGGAGCACCTGAATCTGGCCGTGCGGCGCCTGAGCTCGCTGGGCCGCGCGGACGTTGGCGGTTTGCTTGGGTTTGACGCGCACCCTGAGTCCCTGGAGGATGTCACGCCCGAGTGCCAGCGCCATAGGGACGGTCTCGACCGCGAGACTGGTCCCCGCCACATCAAGCCAGCCTGGAAGGTCCGCTGGGAGAAGATCAAGGAGCAGCGCATGCAGCCGCGCCACACCGACGGCCTGAACGACAACGAAGCTGCCGCCAGCCTCGCCAACAGGGATATGATGTGCGTGTGCCCGAGTGACACATCTGCTGGCGGCCTCGCAGAAGACGTATTCGTAGAGGGTGTGACCGGCGGCGGTAACATTGGTGGCGTCCTCGTCGAATTTCAGACGGGTAGGCTCGCCGAGGCGACGTGGGACTGAGGGGCACACGTATCGACGGCCTTGCGGTCGGATTCGTAGATCTTTCTCTGCAGGCGTGTACTCGAGCCAAGGAGTGCAGCGAACAAACAAATGAATCAATGTCAGCCGGCGCTGACTCCAAGCAGAAACATCTACCCTACCAGCCTCTGCTCTACTCAGCTCTACTCTGCTCTGTGCTACATTGCTCTCATCTACCTTTGGTGACTCTACTCTACTAAACGCTACGCTATGCTACTCCACTCCACTCAGCTCTACTCTGCGCTACGCTACCCGCTACCCTACTCTATTCTACGCCACGCTACTCTACTCGACTCTACTCCACTCTACTCTACTCTACCCGACAGTACTCTACCCTACCCTATTCTACCCTGCTCTACTCTGCTCCACTCTACTCTACTCTACTCTACTCTGTCATCTACCCCATTCTACTCTGCTAGATGATACCCTACTCTACTCTATCACTGTTCCCTATTAATAAACGCCCCCTCCCCCAGGCGACCGGCAGCCAACCAGGGCCAATGACCCCCCCCACCACCATTCCTTTCGGGTCATGCTCGTGGGCCACGCGAGCACTTTGTATTGTTCTTTTGATGGGGGCGACGAGGGATCATATTGCCTGCTGCGCACAGGGGCACCATCCGTACCAAAAACAATACGCGGCTAAATGTGGATCGTGCGCGGCAACCCCGCGGTCACTTTGCAT